GTCAGTTTCAACCAATCGATTTCTATATATTTTAGAAAGCAGTAAAAAGCCAGTTGCTTACGTAATGCAGAAATGGAAACAGCAAGAGGCACAGTTTCTTCCCAACATATTTATTGTCCACATCAAAGTACTGTTTCAGGTTGGTAGTCAGAACGTATTCATTTAACTATAACGAGCAAACGAAATAATTGCATAAACATCACACTACAAAATAAACAGATTGTCAGAAGACAATAAAACAAAAAATGTGATAATTCATACTCATTCAATGCCAAAAAGATTCGAAAACCGGATAGAACTGCTCAATAAATGAAACGCTAGACCTGAAAATGACGGGTTACCTGGGCTCGAGCTCCGGGCAGGCCAGTCGCCTTCCTTCTTTCCGAGGCTGACAAATAATTACCACTCTGTGGGAAGGAAAGAGTACACTATACACTACGCGTACCATGTAGCCTTCAAAACAGCGCAACTCCTGACCAATGACACGGGGATGATCAACGCCTAATCAATAAAATCATGAAAAGAAAGAGGCTAGAAATGACCCCAACATAAAAGTGTAAGAATGATCCACGTTCTAACAGTTGTAAACCTTCCTTTCATTTCTTTGGTACAAATAAGTATTCTGCGATTCAACGGTTGCAAATACAGCAATGCTTTATATAGTCAGCAGGACTGCTTGTTATCTATAATGACAAACGTATGATGTGATTACAGAAAATGTGGCTGCCATCAGAAACATCGATTTAAAGTTTCTGATTTCACACAGGAATTATATTACCATTCTACATAATAAACATAATAACATGCTACTACACATGTACGGTACACGAATCTGATTACATTACTGGAGTTTGATTTCACTGAGTCCATTTGCTAGTTAGCTACTCGCCGCTGGGAGCTTTGTACGGTTCCGCACTGCAAGAAAAACCATAAAATGATACCTTATTATGGCCACGGGTTCTTTTAGCCTGTTTAAACACGTTATAACACATTTTCCATCGTTTCGAAAAAGTCTGACTGGTTCGTCTTGAAACTCAGGATAAACAGCAAAATGGGATGAGAATATATAGATTCTGATCACAGATAATTTTGAATCAAAGTTCAACGAACAATTCTGCAGTGCGATAGACCTGTAGAATATGAATTATGAAGTTCAAACTAATAGTAGGGAGCAGAAAGAGGACAGCCCGTAGATCGCACGACTTTGTCAAGAAAGAAATGAAGTTGGTGGAAGACGTGTGCTAGAAGGGTGTTCGAAAATGATTCGCCGAAGCCTACCCTGCATCACATCTCTGCTTGCTTACGCTAAACATGTAATATTTCCGAGTTTGCCTAAGGCTGAATAATAAATACTCTGGCATGCCCCTCAACTAATCTCACTAATGGCGCTAGAACACACGCTTTGACTTAAACTGATCAAGCGATCTCGGCTACTATAAATTTTGGAGAGAAAAAAAGATTCTCTGGATCAATTGTACTCTATTCGTTTTGTTTCCAGACGTTGAAGTTCAAAATCTAAACACATGCCATTTATGCAAGAATTAAGGTCAATAAGAGACTGACCATCGCATTCACTGTTCAAGCTCTTTTAAACGTTGAATCAGATAGAAAACCATATGAAAAAATATCTGCGCAAACTGGACAATTTACTTAACTATTCAGCTGATTAATGGCGCTAGTTGAGACCATATACCACTATAAGGTGGATGAAACAAAGTCGAACATAGCACACTAGTAAAAGGAATGCGTCAAAGAGATGAAGTTAAAATTTAATACACAGATGAAGAAAAAATACTACAAGCTTTGCTATACTGCAATATAATCTTTAAAACATCATTCTTGAATCTTAAGAGTTTACTTTTTCCTTGCCCTGTTGTGCCAGCTGTTCACCATATGCGCGGGCGATATTGACAGCAGGTTCCGTGATGAATTCGCCGCCCAAATTCACATTCTGCCAAGAGGAAGCTGGTGCATTCGACGGAATGGGAGGACGGTATCCAAAACTGTTCGAGGCAAAGCTTCGTTGATATGGTGGCTGCACGAAAGCCGGTGACGGTTCGTTCTTGGAATAAGTAGGAATTTCTTGAGGACCGTAATTATAACCATCGCTACTACTCGTAAACGGAGAAGACGATCTCGCTGCACTATATCTCTGATGTTCTTCTTCGAAAACGGGAGGAGGCTGCGAATAGAAACCTCCTATAAAGAATAGATTTGCACACAATCACACGTTTTTCACTTTTTGTTACCAGTGTTGATAAAATCTGGAGGTGCAGTCATATCCAATGCTGACTCTAAAAAACAGCTTCGAAGCGAGAGCGGTTAAAGGATCTAGCAACGCTTGTATATGGTAGATACGGTGGTAGGATCATAAGGTTCAGACACTTGTTTGATACCATTATTTACGCTATAAAGTTAAAAAAATTTTCTGTTGGTGGAATAAATTCGATATAACATAATCACAGGTGCCTTGCCTCCTAATATGAAATGCATAAAAATCTTTCTAAAGAATAAGGCAAATAGGGAAAATTGTTGAATCTTCGTTAAAATTTTCTGATTCTGAGAAAGAAGAATTTGGCTTTGAAAACTAATTCACTTGCTAATAGTAGACCCTGTTGAAGCTTTTTTAAAAGACAAATTGGTTTTTCTCTCGAAGAGAATCGCGCGCGAAAGCCAATACAAGTTTTCATCCAATCACAAGTATGACCTTCCAAATCGAACAATCACAACTTCAAGTCAATGAAATCAAATATGGGGCTGTTCCGCAAGAGCGAAACTTTAATATTTTTTGTGTAACGGTTTCTGTTTTTCTCAGCCGAAATTTATGTTGTACTCAACTAATGTTGCATGCTTTGCTGTTCCCATTTATTCGAACTATCTTCTAAACACTTCGCTTTTGTCAGTTTATCACGTCATTTGCGTTTTGCACTCTCTCATTCGTCATTGGTTTCACTATCGTTCTGTCATCGTTTTATGAGGTTAGAAGCCTCCAGATGCAGCAATTCAGATTCATGATGATGCTTGAAAATTAGTCAAGGAATCTTAGACATTACGATACGCTGATTTCTGCGTTAAATGTCGTATTGTTCATGACATGAAGGTCTGTGCGAAAGAAAATATCTCATTGCATTCTTTTACAATGCATTTGGGGTAAGCGCCCGATTTTCCCGTCAGAAAACCTTGAATATATTTACAACTTTTTTGAATCGTTTCATTAAACTAAGTTATGCATTAATAGTTTTTATCTTGTAGTTTTCTCTAGCATGTGGTCTTCAGCAACTACTTTCTCGTAACTCGGTGGTAGTTCGTACTTTAAGGGTTCGCAGACAGAACTATTTGAAGCAATCGAGAAGCGTTTTACGTTGTTTGAAAATGATAGATGTTAGCAGACTGTTCATACCGCTAATATGATTGCTTCGATCTTCGTGGTTTGAAAGTTTGAAACGTGTTTATATTTGTTTGTATTTCAACGTCGCAAAGCTTCCCGATATGAATAGCACTTCCCATATTTCGTTTCATTCGAGATCTCATCGTCTCTCATAGCCATCAATGTCTTACGACGGATGTTAGATTTGTTTCAATAGAATGCTTTAGTTTGCTACCAACTCCGCCATGGCCGGTCCCAATCCCGGATGAGAAAGGAGGAGGCTTGGAGACAGTGGCAAGTCTCCGTAAAATCCAGACACCTGCCACTCATGGTATTCACGCTTTCAAAAATTATACCGGCTCGGTCGTCGCTCGGGTTACCAAGGGCCGCGCAGGCTGCTAAGGGACTGAGGCAGACTGCGAAAAGTCAGCGATCAGAACCTGCCCATTGTCCTCTGCCAGCCGAAGATACCAGTCAGCAGCGGAGTCGCTACCCGTTCTGAACGGAGGAGGCAGACAACGCGATGCCATCACAGCACGTCAGAAAAGGGTCCACGAATATGACACCACCAGTGGGAGCTTAAAGTCGGAAATTGGAACATATCCTCACTCAGAGGAAAAAAAACATGAATTAGTTGATGAGGCCACGAAGTACTAACTCGACATTGTTGGACTCTTGTCAACAAAACGCCCAGGCTCTGGACTCCTGAACCTCAATGGATGGAA